GAGTGAGCTGTAGCACGTGTAGGTCCCACTGTGGGCTGAGGTCACAGGACTCAAGGTGAAGTTGTTCTGAAAGGGTGGAGCCGTGTCCTACAGACGAAGGTACTGGGGAGGAGTGAGTGACCCCTCCTTGGACAGATGGAGGGGATCGGACCAGACCTCAGAGCCACACTGCAGGGTCCCGTTCTCTCTGCAGGGTTCTGAGGCCCCCAGCTGGGCTGAGAGGGAGGGTTTCCTGTACATTCCTGGGGCGAGGAAGGTCGTGATGTGTACAGAGCCACCCCCAACACACCCTTGACCCTGAGCTGAGGGACCACCATCCTCTCTCCAGGGACCCTGTCTGTGACCCCCTCTCAGCTGCTCTCAGCCCCTCTGTGTGGGTCTCTCTTATCTCCCGGCACCTGCTCCATTTTTCTCACTCACTCTCCCTGGACCACTGCCCTGTCTCAATGTCTGCTCTAGGACCCCTCCCAGGACCCCATCACCACCAGGGGTGGCTCTGGGCCCAGCACCCTGACAGCACAGTCAGGACGTGGGGCAGGACAGGGGCTGCTCACCGGCGATCAGGCTGTCTCCACGGAGCACGAGAGAGCCCGGCTAGGCTGAGAGCGAGGGCTCCTTGTACACCCCTGCAGAGAAGGGACAAGGGCACCGAGGGGGACGCACACCCCACACTGCTCACTGGGGCTGCAGTGAGAGCTCTCCTGGTCCCTCCCAGGCCTCCCGCCAGTGGTTCTGCCCCGGGAGGCCACTGCCCCTGACCCCCCATCACCCCAGGGCTCACTGGGCACAAGGCTCAGGTCAGGGGTCCAGGAAACGATGGGGCTGGGGGCCCTCACCTGTGACCTGGCGATGCAGAGGGTGACTGGGGTGTGACCACACATGTGCAGGGAGCTGGGAGAATCATAGCATCCGTGGGTTCCCCCACGGGAGGAGTTTAGGGGGCCCACAGGGCCCACGGCCTGTCCCCTCCCATGGGTCCTCGATGTCCGGCGTCGGGCGGGTCGGCGCCTCCCTCCTTCAGCAGGTGCAGAGTGCCCGCTGCAAACTGTGAGCTGCCAGGGACACGCCCCCTCCTGAGGCCGCCACAGGGCGCGGCTGCTGAGAGGGAGGGGAAGGGGCTGGGTTAAAGGGGGGCCTTCACCCCGCTCACCGCAGGTGTGGGCTGTGAGGGGAGACGTCCGTCCCCCTGAGCCCACACTCTGCTCCCTCTGCCTGTAAGGACGCTGCCGCAGTGGGAGGGGACCCGGGTCCTCCCTCCTACCTGTCCCCACCAGGGGCAGGGGGTCACTCCACTCTGACCTGTCTTTCCTGCAGTGATAGACACACTGGTACTGCCCTGCAGTGCTTGAGCTCGAGGATTCAAAGGGGAAACTGGCCTTGTTACTGGAGTCCTGTGGGGCCTTAGCCTCCCAGAGTCCAGAGGGCCTCTCT